ATAGAATAGAATAGAATAGAATAGAATAGAATAGAATAGAATAGAATTCTTTATGGGCCAAGTGTGATTGGACACAATTTCTCTTGGTGCAAATGCTCTCAGTGTACATAAAAGAAAAGATACATTAACCAAGAGTCAAGAATCATCAGGTACAACACTTAATAATAGTCACAGGGTACAAGAATAGAATAGAATAGAATAGAATAGAATAGAATAGAATAGAATAGAATTCTTTATTGGCCAAGTGTAATTGGACACACAAGGAATTTGTCTTGGTGCAAATGCTCTGGGTGTACATAAAAGAAAAGGTACATTCGTCTAGAGTCAAGAATCATCAGATGCACACTTAGGACCGTTTTTCACACACTGACCATTGCAGCATCCCCATGGTCACATGATCAAAATTCAGATGCTTGGCAATTGGTTCATATTTATGACGGTTGCAGCATCCCGGGTTTTGTGATCCCCTTTTGCGACCTTTGGACAAGCAAAGTCAATGGGGAAGCCCGATTCACTTAACAACCGTGTGACTGATACAACAACTGCAGCAACTCACTTAACAACTTTGGCAAGAAAGGTCCTAAAATGGGGCGAAACTCACTTAACCGATACCTCACTTAGCAACGGAAATGTTCAGGCTCTATCTCGGCGGTTAAATCGGGGAATGCCGGTATGATGTAGAGATCCTTTGAGACCTGAATATCCTCCCCAATTTATTACAAATGCATTTCAAACTTTCCCAGGCCGATGAAACTGTTAGGTTTTTTTGGTTTTTTTAAAAAAGTATCCTTGAATTTCTGATCTAGAGGCAAATCTCTCGTGACTGATTGTGTGTCGTTGTGTCTGAATTGAAACCTCCCAAACCTTTACAGAACAAAGTTTGAAAAAAACAATTTCCCTTCTTCAACAGACGTTTTTTTTCCCTGACACGAGACCTGAAAAGGGGTCTCCTTTCTCTCCCCATGTAAGCTCTCTCTATAACTGCAGTTTCCAATGTTTGCACATAACTTTTAGCACCATATTTCTCTCTCCCCCCCACCCCGAAGGCATTGGTAAACAAAGCCTAGGCAATGTTGCCTCTAGTGAAATTAGTGGCAGAATTATTTTTCCATCATTATTAGTAGTTTAGTCCCGGAGAACTGTGGCTCATGAGGCTAATGTTACACACTTTGAATAAATTTAAATACAAATGTATATTTAATTTAAATGCAATTATACTTAATATAAATTTAGTAAATAAAGCTTATTTGATTTTTTTCCCCACCCCAGTGTGACTGAAGTGAGAATCCTTACATACATAGATCCATATATACATACATGCGCGCACACACATGCGCACACAGACACACATATACATACAAATACATATTATGCACATAGATACACACATATATGTCATATTTTTTATTTTGCATGTTAAATATGGTTTTACATTGTGTAAACTGCCTTGAGTAGCCATGAGCGAATAGGCAGTAATATAAATTCAATAAATAAATAAAGTAAATAAATAAATATACATATCCGTATAGATATATACAACACACAAATACACACATCTGTCCATCTGTCTGTCTACCTACCTACATCTATCTTATCTATCTATCCATATCTTATCTATCTATATCCCTATCATCAACTATTATCTATCTATTTATCTATCTATCTCAATCTCTATATCTGTCTTTCTCTCTGTCTCTCTCTCTCTTGCATTTCAGACAATTCCGCCGTTCCCTGGAGGGCAACGGGAGAGGTTAAAACCTTGGGGAAAAAATTTTCATAGTTGCTTTTGATTGCTAGAAAATACAGGGAAAAGACTAGTGATTAAAAAAATACCCACTGCCCTCTCTAATCACACGTCAACAGCATAATGAGGCATCCTATTTCCAGTGCAAAAACACCGATTAAAAATAAATCTACCTCTTTGATGGTAAGGGAGAAAGAAAGGGTTTTTTTAAAACAAACAAGCAAACCCAAATTGCTCTTTCAATATATGATTTATACTCGACATGAGGAAACATGCAAATAAAAGCTTGGAGTTTCAAGCCTGGTTGCTTTTTTGAAGGGGCTGTGAATGATTCGGAGGGGGCCCGTTTGGGGATTTGGCATGGTTCTTAGTCACACAGGGCTTAAGTCTGAAGGAGCCACTTTCGATCACTTTGCAAGCGTTGGAAGAATTATCCTCCTGGGTTCAGTTCCAAGTGGGGAAGAAAGACATTGAAAACATGGTGACTGCTTGGGAAAGATGGTTTAATGGTGGACAGGATCACATGCCTTGGGTGAAAAAAGGAAGAAGGGCAGAAATGCCGAGAGTCCCTGAGTTTTATATCCTTTGGATGGGATTTGAATTTGAGCTTGTGTTCTGATTGGTTGTCAGACTCCCATGGGGCCATGCAGGGGCAACTCTGTAGGTTGTCTTTTGAGTCCCAGGCTTGGTTGGGCCTCGCTGGATGATGATGTAATGAAAGGGTGTTCAGGCAATTCCTATTATGGCTTTACCTGGAGTAGATCTTTGTTATGTAAAATAGACTGGCCTAGGTCAGAGTCCATTAGCAAAGGTGTGTGTGTGTGCTGAGTTTCTGCCTCTTGAGTTTCTACTTTTCTTTTTAAGGGGAAATATTCTGCCTTTTTAATATTTCCTAGGATTTTTTCTAGGAGCGGGGTGGGTGCTAACATCCTACACAAGGAAAACAAAAAAAACAAGCACCTGAGAACTGGGGTTTAATTTGGAGCACAGCGGGGCTGCCGCTTCCCTGACATCTTCCATTTGCTTTGTCAAGAGGGGCCTTCAAGACGAATGACCTTAACCATCACCCTATCCACCTCTTCTGGCCCCTGTCTGGCTCTCTGGAGAGCGGTCTTTCCTTTTCGTTTCATAAAAAAAATGGATTCATGAACAGGGAAAGTTGCAAGTCCTGTAGTTCTCCACTTACAACCATTCAGAGTTAACCGCGGCACTGGAAAAAGTGACGTGTTTTGTTTTTTTTCACACTTAACCGGCCGTTGCGGCATTCCTCATGGTCACGGGATCAAAATCCAGACTCTTCGCAACTGGTTCATCTTCATGACGGTTGCAGTGTTTGACGTGGTCCTCTTCAGCAGCCGCCCAAAGTTATGACGGCGCTGAAGGAATGGATTTGCCACAAAGAAGAGGGAGACACCTGAAGGCAGTACAAGAAGCAACAGGTGGAAACTAATTGTCGTGCCCCCGTGACAAGGAGTGGAAGTGTGGCTCCAGAGGTTGTGGACAAAACTGGGGAAGGGCACAGGCCAGTTGGGCAGTCAGAGGAAGCGCCAGGCCCATCCCCTCTCCATCCTAGGGCACGCAGGGAGGAGAGGATAAGGGAGAAATGTGAATGGTGTGGTCTATGGGGGAGGAAAGGGCCTTGATCCCCTTCATGAGCTGCAGCTGGGAGGACTGTTTAAAAGGACAAACTGCGCATGGCCCAGTGCTGGAAACAAAGTGTGGAAATATCTCTGGTCTGTCTTTCCTCTCAGGAGTTTGGTGTCCTTCCCAGTGCGTATTCCGATGTCTTCAAGCCCTTACCTTGCTTGGTTCCCTTAATTGCTTCAGTGTGGTTTGTGTTGTTTTTTCTATTTATAATTTATAGGTATTTTTAGTTTAAACGGCATTTCCTCCTTTTTGCAACTGTTTGTGGGGGAGGTTTTTTTGTCTCCAGTCACGGATATTTGGAGCTTTAAAAGCCAAGTTGAAGGAATTAAAGGGGGCTTCACCTGTTTTTTTGTGACTTTGTTGATTTTGTATCCCACTCTGGGTCGTCGCACTAATCAAGGAGAGAAGCAACCTGGAAGTAAGTAAAAATTTCCTGAGTGTTAGAACAATTAATCAATGGAACAA